GGTAATGAGAAATTCGCGTTTAAGTGATTTTGAGAAGGAGACCTTGTATGGGAGCTAAGACCAATTGTGGAACGGTCATGAAAAAAATTTACAGTAAGAATTCTGTAGATAAAAGGAATATTTGTGCCAAAGTATGTATGGATATCGTTATTTGGTAATGAGTTATGTGTGTTTAAGTGATTTTCGGAAGGGAACTTATATAAAAATAATACAAGTTTGCAGGAGAGCTAGTTCTTGAAGATTTTTGAATTTTTTCTTCTACAATTTATTTTTACTACCACATTCTAAACCGTTATATAAAAAGAATTTAAGATTTTGCAAAATTATTCACAAATTTATATCAGTTAGAACTTTTTTTTTTGCAAATTTTTTATTACAACCTTCAGATAGAGAGTTTTTCATAGAAATATGATTTTTTATTTGATTTAATAGCAATAAATATTATATTTTATGCAATTTAATGAAGTAATAAAAACCAAATTGTTGAAAAAGCAACAGATTATAAGGTTTTGGTCCAAAATCAATGTTATATGGTTAAACACGGCAATAAAATTTATCAAATAAGTATCATAATGAGCGATATCTCGAAAACTATTAAACCAGGGATCGGCAGACATATACTACCACATTTTGCACTTGTATAAGTGTAAGAGCGAAAAAAACAAGAATTGAGAAATAGTTGTACTCTCATCTGCACAACAAGGCAGGCTTGGAAAACTGAAATTTAGAAATAATAGTAATCTGAAACAAAACTAATATTTTTTTAGTTTAAGAGTAGCACATATTGTTTTTGGGCTTATTTGCACATATTTATTTCAAATATTGAACTAGAAATATGAGTTTTTTAACTAAGTTTTTAATAAAATATATACATATAAAATGTAAAGATTTAACATATTTACATGTATATATTGGTAAATTATTGTAATTTGCTACTTAAGTTGTAAGAAAAAACATTTAAAAAAGTTTGTAATTCTAAAAACTACATAATATGTAGTGTAGATGCTAAAAAATTACAACAATAATTAGAATTATCCATCCCTGCATTAATATATTTTCGTTCATTTTCATTGCAAAAGCAAGAAACGAGCGACAACACAACCTCCTTCAATGCGAATTCCCCAGGCCATTAACGTGTCCCACAGCACATGAATTCGAAATGTGACAAAAAAAAATTACTTTTTTTGGAATATATTCCAACAAAAACCTTTTGTTACTTAAAATATATCTATAATTACTCGAATATTAGCATTTGCCCTTATAAGATAACGCAATCTTCTTCTCAACTATGGTCAAAAAAGTTTGATTTTTTCAACGGCCGTTTCAAATCTCCAATTTCAGTTTTTTTGAATCTATGTTAAACAAATTTCAAAATTTTTGGGAGATCTCATGGGGATTTTTGGTCAATAGATAAGGCTATTAAACAATAAAAAAATTAGATCAATATTTCTTACAGTTTAGCTGTACCTGTGATTTAAACTCGGCGGATTTCGGAAAAATCGAATTTTTTGTAATATTTTAGAGAACACGTATTAATTCTTTACTGATACATATTTTAAATAATAATGCAAAATATATATCCGAAGTTTTATTAAAATCGGACATTCTTAACCCATAAACTGTAGAGTTCAAAGGTAAAATTTCGCAATATTTGGGAATTCTTAGTGTACCATATCGAAATAATATTTATTTGTCGGCCATCTTTACCAAAATGACTGGAATTTATCGTATATAGTCCGATATTTAAAATAGAGTGAAAAAAGGTAGATTAACCCTTTAAGACACTTGGGAACAATTTAACAAGTTCAACAATTCGAAAAAAACAACTATTTGAAAAATGCTCTATATAATTAAAGGAATAACAGAAATAAAACATATAACGTATTAAATATAAAAAATTATGAATTAACCCTTTTTGACCATATTAAGTTTGTATTTTGAGACATATTACATTGAAAATCGACCGTAAAAAAGGATTATGTAAATTATCAGTTTTAAAAACAAATTTTTTTCTTTTAAAAATGTGCACCTCAAGTTTACTCCATAGTCAAAAAGGGTTAAAGTATAATTTTTTATACTTAATATCAAATTTTTTGTTTTATTTCTGTTATTCCTCTAATAATATATAGCATTATTCAAATAGATAGTGTTTTTTCGAATTTTTGAACTTTGGTGTTAAATTATTGACAAGTGCCTTAAAGGGTTAATCTACCTTTTATTCACTCTATTTTAAATATCGAACTATATACGATAAATTCCAGTCATTTTTAGTAAATATGGCCGACAAATAAATATTATTTCAATATGGTAACCTAAAAAATCTCAAATATTGCAAAATTTGACCTTTGAACTCCACAGTTTATGGGTTAAGAATGTCCGATTTTAATAAATTTTTTATTTTATATTATCTGGACTATAATACTCTGATAATACTTTATGTAAAATGTGCAGCAGTAAAGAATTAATACGTCTTCTCTAAAATATTACAAAAAAAAAAAAAAAATCCGATTTCCCCGAAATCCGCCGAGTTCAAATCGCAGGTACAGCTAAACTGTAAGAAATATTGATCAAATATTTTTAACTTTTAATAGCCTTATCTATAGACCATAAATCCCCCTGAGATCTCCTAAAAATTTTGAAATTTGTTTAACAAACTTTCAAAAAAACTGAAATTGGAGATTTGAAACGGCCGTTGAAAAAATCAAACTTTTTTGACCATAGCTGAGAACGAGTTAACGTTATCTTATAAGGGCAAAAACTAATATTCGAGTAATTATAGATATATATTTAAGTAACAAAATGATTTTTTTAGAATATATCCCAAAAAAGTATTGTTTTTGTGACATTTCGAATTTATGTGCTGTGAGACACGTTAATGGCCTGGGGAATTCGCAATATCTTTTAAAGTTTTCAAGCAAAGTTACCAAATATTGTACGGTAAACTTAAGTGTCAATATGAAAATTTTGTGCAATAATGGGCGGATAATAAATAGTGGGCGTGTCATATAAATTTAGTACCAAAATTCGTATATCTGGGAAACTATACAATTTGGAGTGCACAAATTTCGTCCGAACCACTTTGATATCAATATTAATATTCAAGACAAATATGAGCGGACTTCAAAAAAAGGGGATGTGGTATTTCCCATATGAATTAAATACAAAAATTCGTATATCGGGGGAACTATTGGAGCTAGAATGCTCAAATTTTGCACAAAAAAATTTGATATCGATATTAGTATTCACATAATAAATTGGCGGTTCACGTGGGCGTTACCCCGCCCATAAGAATTTAAGAAAAAATCGCATATCGGAAAACTATTGGACCTAGAATGCTCAAATTTTGACATTCGTGTAAACATTTGTCTAACAAATTGTCGGGTTACGGGAGCGTGGTCCCTCCCATATGAATTAAATACAAAAATTCGTATATCAGATTTGATTGGTATATGAATTGATTCGTTGATTTTGCACGATCAACACTGAAATCCATCTGAACAATTTGATAATAACCGGACTAGCAATACGGGCATGGTACTTCCTATATGAATTATATTTTTTACATCTAGGAAAATATAGGAACAGGAATTCTCAAATGTTGTACGTGTTGTATTGGGCACGGCTCCTCCCATATGAATTAAATTCAAGAAATCTCAAATATTGCACAGGCAACATTAAAATCCATATGAACATTTGGAAAAATTGGGTAAACTATCAATTTACACTGGAATAATTATTACCGCGTTGCCTACGTATTATTTGCCAGCAATGAATATCTATATATGTATATAAAAATGAATGTGTGTTTATTTGCGGGTTTGTTTGTTTGTTTATTTGTTTGTTTGAAGTCTATAGACGGCTAAACTGCTAGACCGATTTTCTTGAAATTTTTACAGTGTCTTTGTGTATGCCTGGAAGGAACTATAGGCTACTTTTTATTTTGATATTTCAAGTAGGCAAAGTGCCACGCCCACAAACAAAGTAAGTATTAAAAGTGGTCTATTTCAGAAACTAGAGTCCTCAAATTTTGTATGGACAATTTTGACATAGATATGAACAATTTTTGGCAAAATGGGAGGACTAGGTATAGTGGGCGTGGCACTTCCTATATACAGAAAATATTGAATTAGTATTTCTGAGATAATATGTATATTTATATATAAGTTAGAGTCCTCAAATTTTATGAGAGCCACTTTAGTAATAATATGAATATTTTAGACAAAAATGGGCGTACTATCAATAAGGGGGCGAGATACCCCCATGTGATTTAAGTAAAAAAAATCGTATATCTGCGAAACTATTAGAGCTAGAATCCTCAAATTTTGCAAGAACAACTTACATCCATGTAATAAATTGGCGGACTAGCAATAGGGACAGAAAGTGAACTACAACAGGTAGCTTTATAATTAATTAAATAAAAAAATGGTCGGCCTGTCCACTCCTAGGCATAAACATGTCTCCTTTGCATTTTCTAACGTATTTCCTGGAAAATAAGCATTATTTCAGGAAAATTTTAACATTCAAAATATTTCTATTTATTAAAAAAAAATACATTTTTAAATTTATTTTTCACAAAAATTATTATTTTATAATTAACATTTGTCATGTTAGCAATAACATTTTTATGTTAACTCCAGAGTGAAAATAATCTACACTCTAGAGTAGAAATTGTTTGACTCTGGAGTGGATTGAAAAGAGATAGACAAATTTGATATTCTATGTATAAGAAAACGATAAAAATAGAATTTGCTGGAGTACTCCAGCACTGTGAACGTAGCTTAAAAATTAGGAGAAATTTGTATTTTCTAAAATAAAATTGGAGTAGTTACCTTGAATGTAGTGTAACTGAAACATAGACAATGTTTACAAAAGCTTTTTTATCCCTTTTGATGCTTTGGATGTGGATTTTCAAATTAATAAAATTTCAGCTTTCATCCATATTATGCGTACACCATAAAACTATTTTGTTATTTTTTTCTCATTTTCATTATTTCCATTAGGTGATTATTACATTTCAGAACAATTGGAAAGATCTGCTTCAAAAATTCAAATGGCATGGAAAAACTATAAAGCCAAAAAGATTTTTAAGATGAAGCAAAACATTAAGCAATCTTTATATGGTATGAGAAAAGGAAAAAAACTTAATAATCCGGAAGAACGCGAATATAATGCATTTAAAATATATCAAAAGGAGTTCCAACAAAACGTTTTGGATAAAAAATACGTTCAATTGATAACTGATGAACGCACAAGATTGTTACAAGAATATAAGCCACAAATAATGGAAGATATATCCGATCACATACGAGAATGGTTTAAAGAATTGTAAGTATATATTAATTTACAACGTATATACATTAGGGATATAACTAATTTTGCGAAATTTTTGGCATACCACCTGCCACATGGCCAATGTTACATAAGTAATGAATATATTTTTTATACCCTACACCACTTTAGTGGGGAGAGTATTTTGGTTTGTTCTGATGTTTGTAACGCACGATAATATTGGTCCCACCTTATCAATCGGCTCAGAATCATTTTCTGAGTCGATTTAGTCGATTTATATTTTTGTAACAGGTGTAGGGTATTATATGGTCGGCCTCGCCCGACTATAATTTCTTAATTTTTTTTGGTCATTTGGAATCCAAATACACTCTCCCTGTATTAAGAAAGTACGGCCGTAGGCCGGCTATTTAGGAAATATTTATTAAGCGAAGCCGTTGTTGGACATACCATAGAGTAGAAAGTCCTTGCGCACGGCCGCAGGCCGGCTATTAAGGGAATCTTTATTAAGCGATTAAACCGAAATGAATTAAACTTTGAAACCCCACTCGAAAATATGAGCGACCTACTTTTTTTAGAAATGTCACTAAAACCAACTTGTTCCATAATTTGTTATTTTTAAATGGGAACTTATTTCATTTTAAAATTAAGGATTTGTTTCCTATGAAATAAATCCCCAAAAATGGGGTGTTATTTCATTTTAATTTAGGAAGTTATTTCATTCGTTGGGGCTTTTTGCATTTTTAAATTGGGGAATTATTTCATAATGAAATAAGTCCCCACATTTGAGGACTTATTTAATTTTTGTTTTGGGGAGTTATTTCGTGGGCAGTTATTTCATGACGCCGCAAAAACAACGAAATTTGGGGATTTATTTCATTATGAAATAATTCCTTAAAATTCAAAAATGAAATAAATCCCCAAAAATATTTTTGGGGTGTTATTTCATTATATTAGTTTTGAATAATTATTGATAGCCGGCCTTCGGCCAGGCGCAAGGATTTATCCTCTGGGGTATAGGCCGGCTCTTTGGGAAATCTTTACTAAGCGAAGCCGGTGTTGGACATATGATAGAGTGATAAATCCTTGCGTCCGGCCGTAGGCCTGCTATTTAGGAAATATTTATTAAGCAAAGCCGTTATTGGACATACCATAGAGTAGAAAGTTCTTGCGCCCGGCCGCAGGCCGCCTATTAAGGAAATCTGTATTAAGCGATTAAACTGATTTGTTCCATAATTTGTTATTTTCTATATCTAGATGTCGAATTTTTATATGGGAACTTATTTCATTTTAAAATTAGGGTGGGGTGTTATTTCATTTTAATTTTGGAAGTTATTTCATTTCGTTTTTCATTTTTAAAATTGGGAATTATTTCATAATGAAATAAGTCCCCAAATTTGAGGAGTTATTCTATTTTTGTTTTGGGGAGTTATTTCGTGACGTTTTTACTTTCTGAACAAATTTTTAGGGAGTTATGCCATATTCGTCGACTGAAATTAAATAAATCTTGACGTATTGCGAATTGCTTTAAAAATTTGTATTTGTTCTGAATTTTGACGGCGTAAGATAATATAGCAACAAATAATGTTTTAAATTTTTATTAGAATTCAATATATATTTTTAACAAAAGTTTTATAAATTCAATAAGACAGTTGGTGTATTATTATTACCAAAATATAATAAATAATTTATCTGTTCGAGATAATATCTCGCTTATATAAGTAATATTTCGTGGCAGTCAGTGGTGGTGCTTTCACTTATTCTTCCACTTAGATTTAACATGAAAGTGTCCTATTCTGCCTCATCGATGTGCTCTCGCTTAGAATGTAAGCCACAATATCATTAAGACAAATTAAAATTTCACTTACATAATGTGTGGAGTTCTAAGCGAAGTTAATGAGAGGCCTATAAACGCTTGCAAATAAGAATGTAATGTATGTAGATTACAATCCTATTTGCATTTGAAAGTCAAAGTACCATGTCTTCCGATTTTGTTATAGAAAAATATATATTTTTTATATTTATTTTAAAATTGTGCAAGTTTATTTAAAAATGATCATCAAATAATAAACATGTATTATTATAGTTAATTCAATAAAAATATAATTAAACAATTTTAACGAAGATAAATGAAATGAATCTTAATTTTCTATTGAAACTTTCGGCCATCTTCCTTTACAGATCCTGTAAACAATCAAGAGGAAATTGTCAGTATTAACACTAGAATGTATGAAGTAAATTTACCCCAATTTTTAAAACCGTTTCTGCCATTTAGATCACCACAATTATTTTAAATTCTTACAATAAAATAACTTTTTTAACAAAACACAACTTCACTTACAAAAGATCAACTTTAAACTGAAACAAAAATATTCTTCTTTTCATGTAGTATACAAAAGAAAAATAAAACGGTACTTTAGTTCTGTTTTATTTTTTAAGAAATAAAAACAAAAACATCATGAAAAAGGCAGCTAACTCTCTGCTTAAATCGTAATCTATGTTATAATTAAAGTGCTCGTTTAGAACGTCATCTTTCAGTACAAAAATACTTCAGTTTATGATTTTTTATTTGATTTTGAATTTTATTTAAACAAATTTGAGTAAAAGGAATCATAATTTCGGTTTTAAGTGGATTTTTTTCGTATTAAATATTCTTATGACAAAAATTTTCAAATAGTTAAAAGAAATCAATATAAGGTATTTTGAAGTACTAATATAATACATATATATGTATGTCAAATTAAGCAAATAAAAACAATTAAAATCAATCGAAATTGATAAAAATGTCTCTATAGTTAAAATAATGAGTAAAAAATTCAGTAGAAATACTATTATATATGTTTATTATCTACTAGCTATACCCAGTGTGCTTTTCTACACTAAAAGCAATACCTATGTATAAATAAAAAATCCACTTAACGATTTTGTAGATTCTAACCACAATAATTTTCCAGATTTATAATATGTTACAAGCAAATGATTGCAAATTCGCCAGTTTCTATCTGTGTATCTATGAAAAATTTGAATAATATAAGAGTTTCCAAGAAATTTTGTATTTAATTCATATATGTTGTGCCAAGCCATTTATCAGTTTATCAGATATACGAATTTTTCTGTTTGATCCATGTGGGGGCTTCAAGCTCCCCAGATGAAAGTCCTCACTTTTTCCTCCAAAATATTCAGATGAATATTGAAGTAATTTGTGCAAAATTTTAAGAATCAAGTTCTATTAGTTTCCCAGATTAACGAAATTTTATATTTAATTCATATGGAAGGTGCCAAGTTTCCCATTGAAAGTCCGCCAGTTATGCTCTAAATATTCAGATGAATGTCAAAATTCTTCAAGTAAAATTTTAAGATTCTAGCTCAAATAGTTTCTCAGATATACGAATTTTTCTATTTTATTCATATGGGGGCTTCAAGCCCTTTTTTCCTCCAAAATGTTCAAATGAATATTTAAGGTCTTCGTGCAAAATTTGAAGAATTTAGTTACATTAGTTTCCCAGATGAACGAATTTTTGTATTTAATTAATATGGAAGGTGCCGCTCCTCATGGGTAGTCCGCCAATTCATTACCCAAAATGTTTAAATGGATGTTAAAGTTATTCGTGAAAAATTTTAAGAGTATAACTGTAATAGTTTCCAAGATTAACGAATTTTTGTATTTAATTTATATGGGAGATGCCACGCCCCCTAAAGCTAGTACGCCTACTTTTTGTCCTAAATAATCATATTGACACTAAAGTGGCTCCGACAAAATTTGGGGACTCTTACTGTTATATTATCTCAAATATAGGGATTTAATATTTACTTAATATGGGCGTGGCTCATCGCCCACTTCAAATTTCAAAATAACCTATTTTATACCTATTCCAGACATACAGGAATATGCTGTGAAAATTTGAAAAAAATCGGTTCAGCCGTTTAGAAGTCTATAACGTTTTGCACAAATTACTTTAATATTAATCTGAACATTTTGGAGGAAAAAGGGCGGACTTTTATCCGGGGTGCTGAATGAATTAAATAGAAAAAATCGTATATCTGAGAAACTATTAGAGCTAAATATTAAAATTTTACATGAAGTACTTTGACATTCATGTAAACATTTAGAAAATAACGGGCGAACTTTCAATGGGGGGGCTTGGCACCACATATATGAATATAATACAAAATTTCGTGTATCTTGAAAACTGTTAGATAATTCAAATTTTCATAGATTATAGAAATTGGCGATAGATAGAAATTGGCGAACTTGCAATAATTTGCTTAGCATCTCTCATATCTAACATATTGTTAATCTGGAAATTTATTGTAGTTAGAAAAAAATGGGCAGTCCAGTAGGTGTGGCACATCCTATATAAGAAAATCTAAATATAGTATATTTGAGAAAATATAGCAGTTAACGTCCTCAAATTTTTTCGGATACATCGACATGAATAAGACAAAAAATGGGCGGACTAGCAATAAGGCTCCCATATGAATTTAATAAAAAAACTCGATTTTCTGGGAAACAATTAGAGGTAGAATCTTCAAAATTTGCACGAAGAACTTAAACATCCATGAGAACAGGTGGGAAAAAAATGAAATGCATAAATTCGTATATCTGAGAAACTATTAGAGCTAAAATCCTATAATTTTGCAACAACAACTTTTGAATACATGTGAATATTTGGGGGGCATTGCATCTCCCATATGAATTAAACATAATAATTTGTTTATGCAAACTTTGAACGAAAAACTTTAACGTCCATGTGAACATTTCGGAGAAAAATAGCCGGACTTTCATCAGGGGGTCTTGGATCTTCTCACATGAATAAAATACAAAACGTCGTATAACTAAGAAACTACTGGAGCCAAAATTTTCAAATTTTGCACAAATATATTTGCATGAATGTGAATATTTCGGTAATAAATTGGCGGACTAGCAATAGGGGACTTGGCACCTCCCATATGAATTAAACACAACAATTCGTTTTTGTAATAATAGAGCTCGAATCTTCAAATTTTGGACGAAGGACTTCAACATCTATGTAAACATTTGGGGGAATGCTTGGATCCTCTCATATTCATTAAACACATACAAATAAATCATCCATCGTGAAACAGTGACGAATCAAGTACATACTTTATTTATTATTTTCTTTTTAAATACACACGTATGTATGTGTAACAATTTCTCCGAACATCTCGGAAATCAGGAAAAAAAATCAATATATTTACCAGGACTTTTTTCCTAATGCTTCCCGGTAGGGAAATTCTATATACAAGTATCAGTACAAACGCATAATAACTAGGGTGATCGATTATTCGACATTTTCCAAAAACCGGTTTTCGAATAGTTGACATTTAAAATAAACCGGTTAATATTTTTCAAATTCAGAAAAAACCGGTTAACCGGTTTTTATTATAAATAACAAAATCCATTTTATTTTGAAAAAATTAAGGTTTATGTTTAAATTTGATGGACCGAAGTGATTTTTAACGGTTTAAAATATTAAAAATTTAGATATAATCGTCTGATTTACATTATTTCTTTAATGTAAAAAATTTGGAAAAAAGTGGGACACTTCTGTTAAATATAAGCAACTATGTAATCCTAGCTAAAATCCCTGTTTAGACAATTTTCATAGGCATTCCAACACATCAATAATAGTTTAGCCGCCAAGTAATTATTGTACATATTTGGAATATAATCTTAAGATTGATAACATTTTATCAAAGCAGAAAAACCGGTTGAAAAACCGAGTCGATCACCCTAATAATAATCCACAATAGTGGTGTGTGGCAAAACAATCTGCTCAATAACACACTTAGAAAGTAAATAATATTTTCAGGGTTTTAATTGACATAAAAACTCAGCATATTTTTATTATCAAAATTTATTTTAGAAAAATAAATTTCCCTCATTTTGTAATTTAGCTATGAAAAAACTTCGGATTTTCATCCATATCCGGATGCATTAAAGTCCGGAACAATTTTGGCTTTAATCGATGAAACAATGACTTTGGAAGAATTTAAAGAGTATCAGAAAGAACAGAGCTTCTCAAAAGAAGAAAAGAAAAATTTAAGAGAAAAGCTTAAGCTTCAAAAGCAGAAAGAAAAAGAGAAAATAAAAAAAGAGAAACTTAAGGAGATGAAAAGACAAAAGAAAATGAGAGATGCGGGAATTTATGACATTGGACAAGAATTTCAAACAAATAAGAATATTGGTAAGTTATTATAAGCAATTAATTGCCATTTTTACTTAAAGATTTTTTATAATTTCGAATTCAAAATAACTGCACAGGAAAAGTCGCAGAAAACTGAAAATTTTTGACCTCATGTCTTCCAATTTCCTTCATATTATCAATATATTTGTTATACCCGGTGTGCTTCGCTACCCTAGAAACAATATAAATTAAAAACCCTTTACGATTTTTATACCCTCCACCACCATCAGTGCTAATGGAGGGCAAGAAAGATAAACTAAAGATAACGTCGTTAGGCGAACATAATTAAAACTTTCTGCGCATATATGTAGGAGCTCTGACGTCACACAATCTGTGTTCCTTTTGGTTAACAATTTTCAGCTATAAATATAACGGTGGGACAATGTATTATTTTTATCTAAAAATTAATATAACCATTTTTTTCATAAATTTATTTATTTATTGCTTTTATTTCTTTTGTAAAAAATATTTAATAATATTTTAAATACTAAAAAGTAAAAATATATGTATAAAAAAGGCACAATGTAAAATTTTTTCACAATTTTTCACTCGTTTTTTTTTTTTTTTTTTTGAAAATTAATTTTGATGACATTTGACTACTATTCACTCCATGTTTATATTTTTTCCTATAAATTTTGTTTTCGTTTTTCTATGTTCTGTATCTCTTTTACCGCACTTCACAACACGTATTTATCATTTTATATTTTTTATACCCTCCACCACCATGAGTGGTGATAGAGGGTATATATAACTTTGTCATTCCGTGTGTAAAACCAAGAAATATTCATCTGAGACACAGATCTTGGTCCTTATGAAATTCTGAGTCGATTTAGCTATGTCCGTCTGTCTGTGTAGAACACGCTCACGTAAAAACGAAGCGAAATAAATTATTAGAATTTGGCCAGAATATTCACTAGGCAGTTTATTATTGAAAATGAGCAAAATCGGTTTACATCGGGAAAATTTATGAATCAAAATTTCAAACAACTCCGAAGAAATAAGCATTTTTTACACACTCTGATGCAATTTTTACGAAAACTATGCAATATAATTACATGAAATTCATCACACATTTGTTTTTTACACGAGAATTTTATTCTTGTTGAATAAAACCTCCCATACAAAAGTACATATTCCCGGAAAATGAGATTATTGTTAATAACTTCCGTCAGAATGTTGATATCTTCACAAAATTTTACAAATTAAAATTATATGTAAATAGAATTCATATTCATATTTTCATATTGGTCATAGCTCCCATACAAGGACCCCTCCCGAAAATCCCTTAAACGCACATAACTTATTACTTAATTAAGATATCCATATAAAATTTGGTACAAGTATTGATCTTATATACAGAGATGTTACCGTGATATTTTTTTCCGATCGGTCCATAATTGGTCATAGCTCCCATACAAGGTCCCCTCCCGAAAATCACTTAAACGAACATAACTCATCACTTAATTAAGATATCCATATAAAATTTGGTACAAGTATTGCTCTTATATACAGAAATGTTACTGTTAATTTTTCTCCGATCGGTCCTTAATTGGTCATAGCTCTCATACAAGGTCCTCTTACGAAAATCCCTTAAACACATATTATTCATTACCAAATAAAGCTATTGATACAAAATTTTGCACAAATATTAGTTTTGTATACAAAAATCATATTTTAAGATTTTTTCACGATCGGTTCTTAATATGGGTGCGATCGGTCCCATACAAGGTTCCCTTCCGAAAATATTTTAAACACACATTACTTATTACTAAATTACGATATAGATACAAAATTTGACTGAAATATAGCTTTTATATACAGAAATGTTACTTAAAGATTTTTTTACGATCGGTCCTTAATTGGCCATATCCCCATACTAGGTCCTGCCTCGAAAATTTTATTTCCTTAAATCTTTCACACAAATTATTAAATATCGCTAAAGCATACCTTAGGGCGCTTTAAAAATATAAAAGAAAATGGCGTTTGTAATGTTCAATAAATCTTGCAATTGTAACAGATTTAAGCTGTTTAAATCTTGGGGTTTTTCTATTTAAGACATGAGAAATCTTATTTCTACATATACATATTTGATCAATTAAAAAAGTATTAATATAAAAGTAGCTGGTGGAGGGCATTAAGATTCTTTGATTCATAACTTTTCCCGATGTGAACCGATATTATTGCCAAATTTCAATAATTTATTTCACTTCGTTTTTACGTGAGCATGTTTTACACAGACAGACAGAAGAGAATATATATGTATACTAGAGTGACCGCAAAAAGTCGATGTTGGAATCTTGTGAAGCTATAACATGTGAAGCTATAACTCCAGAACAGTAAATAGTAGAAACACGCTTATTACCTCAAAACAAAGCTAATATTGTAAAAATTTATATTACATACATAATTCTTGTTACTTTAAGTCAAACAGAGTTACAAAAGATTTTGTCTCCCAAGACGTGACCTTGTCGCGGTAGGAGCATACTTCGTATATTTTGATATTATGTGATAAATGTTGCTATTAGGTAAATATTTTACATATTATTGTTAAAGAATCATAATGTACATAGATTTAGTATTTCAAAAAGATGTAAAACAAAAAAATTGGTTGAAGTGAATGTTATAAAAAATTCCCCAGGCCATTAACGTGTGTCTGATGACTTGATTAGGAAATGTGGAAAAAATATAACTTATTTTGGAAAATATTCTAATAAATCTATTTTATTACATAAAATATATCTATATTTACTCGAATATAAGTTTTTGTCCTTAAAAGATATCGTGAAGCTGTTCTTAGCTATGATAAAAAAAAATAATTTTTTACACGGCAGTTTTAAAACACAATTTTCAGTTTGTTTAAAAAGGACAAAACCAAATTCACAATAGCTGGAAAGGGGAATCATTTTGTGGGGTTAAGACGAACAAGATTCCGACATTTTTTTACCCATATAAGATTCGGTCAGTCTAATGCTATAATTAAACAATAATTTTTGACCATCCATATTTTTTGCTATTTGTATTAAAAGAGAACACAACATGCATTAAAATATTTCAAGTAAGAAATTATAGTCGGGCGAGGCCGACCATATAATACCCTACACCTGTTACAAAATTAAAATGTGATTTAGTTTTCATAATAAAGCATTTAAGTTGAATTTTACCTTGTCTCAGATGTACTTAAGCCATTTATTGTTGAATAAACTTGTGGATATTTAAGTCAAATTTTGAAGGGGGCTTTGTATAGGGGCTATGGTCAAATGAGACCCTATAATTATAAAATTCATGAGAATCATAAAGGCTAGTATAGAACTTGGTTTTGCAGCTTTTTGTCGAAATACGAGTATATTAAACATAATTATGAACTTAAGAGCCTTATTCGGCGGGGTTCAGTTGTATGTACGCACATTTTACAAAAACATAATACATTGATTTCGAATTTTCGTTTTCTAGAAATATACTTTTAAGTTATTTCCGGATGATAGTTAGAAGAGTGCATCCATTTTGCCTAAACAAAAAACCATGACTGTTGAATTTTTTTCATCTGGAAGTATACCTTTTTGTGACTTCTGTATGAGAGTTAGGTGAGAACACTTTACAATAACAAAATACATTGTTTCCTAATTTGTATCTTCTTGATTTGTATGTTTATGTCACTTCTGGAAGACAGTTTGACAGTGTTCACATTAATGTTGTATTTTATTCATCTGGAAGTGTGGATTGTAGTCACTTCTGGACGATTGTCAGACGGGAGCACTCATTTTACAAAAAAAAAAAATACATTGATTTCTAGTTTTCGCCGTCTGGAAGTATACATTTAGGTTACTTCCGGATGATAACAAAAAGAGTACAAAAACAAAAAATATAAATACTCCATTTTTTAGCGTGAACGTGAAAAAATAATAATAAATAATGCAGAAGTTCAGTGATGTTTTGTGTTTTGTCCAGTCATGTTCAGTTTTAATTATTCATTGTAAAATTTAAATGAGTTATTGAATTTAATGTTCATAGAAAAATAGTAATTAATATATTGTGAATCTTAAGTAATAAAAAACAATATGACAGTGTTGTGTTAAAAGTCAACTGTTAATAAACATTTAAGAAGGTTTTGTTAATTGGCGAAATTTATTAAATATATACCAAAAAGTAATTATCTTCAAGGATTATAAGTATAAATAAAATTAAAAAGTAAGTTGTCATATTTTACATTAAAATACTATTTTAGGAATATGTTAACAACTCTAAACGGCTTCCATTTCCATTATTTTTAAACAAAGTCTAATATGTTTAATTAAAAATGTTTTTATATTAAATTTCGTCTCTCTCTTAATTGATTTAGGAGTTATAAGCATTTAAAGACATTTTCAAGTTGTACGTTTCGGCTTTCATTTGACGAACATTGCATTTTTAACCTATTTAGATTTATTTGAATTAAATCTTAACTTTCAATATTTTTAAACTATTTGCGCGTTTAGGTCCTGTTTCTAGATTACGTATGATCACTTTGAGCTAAAATTTTATTTGTATTTCATTATCGTAACAAAGTACATTAAAATTTTTACTTAAAGTATTCAAACGCTATCTGGAATCATTATATTGAAATTAATACTACTGTTTATACATAAATTATTTTTTGACTTGGGTCACTCGACACGAAATTACCCATATAAGATATTTAATATTAAAATCAGATATTTTTAAACCCACTTTTTTTAAATAAATACAATTTTATTAATTTTCATATAGCTTTGGATTTAATTATTCTAATTATAGGTACTTTTTTAGTTATTAACACCAGGTCTTTCTATGACCTATCATATGATAGTAATATTCTTAATATTGAGCATGCCGTTCCCAAGATATTGAACCTAAGTAGATAGTTTTTGAACTTGTATAACTCCTTAATTAGAAGAGAGCAAACAAAAACAAGTAAGAAATTATAGTCGGGCGAGGCCGACCATATAATACCCTACACCTTTGACAAAAATATAATGTGATTTAGT